CCCCACCCTGCAGTGTGGGAGCAGGAGCCGCTGCTGGAGAGAGCCGGCTTAAAAGCCAGTTCCCCCTAGCACTGTCTCTGTGGGGCGCGGGAGGCAGAGGCACAGTGGGGGGAACGGCGTGAGCTGGGACCAAAGCAGTCCCCACTCGCACAGGTCCAGACTGCCGCGCCTCTCCCTTTGAAATGTGCGAGAACCGTGGGGAGCGCCCCCCTTATCGACTCATGGATGGAAATTCCATCAACTACTCGATTCGCTCGCTAAGCGAAATGGAACTTCCCTAGTGCTGGTGTCCCCATGAACGAGGTGCCGCCCCTGCTGCCCACGACCCCTAAGTACGGGTCCCGTCCCACTTGGCCCTGGGGGGCCCTTGACGCCGCTCTGGCGGTGTCCGGGAGCCTGGAGGGGAGAGTCAGCTCAATAGATGTGGTGTGACGTGGCCTCGGGGCTCCTGAAACACGGGCCCGGCGTGTGTACAAAGGCTTAATGGGTGACTCTGTGATGTCCTGATTGTGACATTCCTGCCCCCTTCGGGAGGGCGTTGAATCTAAACTCGGTGTGTAACTCCCCTGGCCCAGGACTGGCGGGATCCCTGGCCGTGGTGCCCCTGCCTTTGTGGGACCGGGGACACTCTGCCTCTCCAAGGCACGTCGTGGCTGGGAGTCCCCAGGGCAGGCGGGCCGCCATGGGTTCTCTGCCGGTGGCGTGAGAGCTGCCCCCTTCTTTTGGCAGGAGCTCCCGAAGTTCCAGGAACTGATCTTCGAGGACTTCGACAGCTTCATCCTGGTGGAGAACACGTACGAGGAGGTGGTGCTGCAGTCGGTCATGAAGGACATCATGCAGGGTGAGAGGCTGGCCCCCGTGGGGGGCCGGGGGCATGTCCCCTACACCGTTCCGGGGAGGGACCTATGCCACCCTGGCTGAACCACCCGGCGGCCAGCTTGGCCAGTCCTGGGCCTGTGGCGGCTGCAGTGTCTGGGCAGCATGTTGCCCCTGCTCCAGGCCCAGGGGCTGCGGCGGTGGGGGAGATGCATGTGCACCCTCGCCTAAACCCCTCCCTCCAGGTGACTCTGCTCTGTAGCCCTGCAGCCTGCTCTGACTCAGCCACGTGTGGAAGTTGGGCCCAAATCTCCCCCCCCCCTTCTTCCGTCCCTAGGATCTGGGCCTTTCCCCTCTGTCCTGACAGCCCGGCCTCTCCCCCTGCCCTGTGCCATTTGCTGTCATGGCTGCATAAAGCCCAGCTCCCAGCCTCCCCATCAGCTGAGCCCATCGTCTGCTCCCTCGCTCTGATTCATCGCCCCCCCACTCCCTTGACTCCCTCCACCCATCCCCGCTTCTCCACCGCCTCGAAGTCCGGCTTCTTGGCCTCCCGGGGACGCCCCTTCGCGCTTCCGCATTCCCGTTGTGCTCAGGCGGCATCACGCGCCCCTCCCCTCCGTCTGCTGTGCCCGCTCGGTCCATCTGTCCGCCGCACACCTCGCTGTGCGCCCTGCCAGGCTGTCCCTCCTCCTCGGGCCTCCCTGCCAGGACAGAAGTAGGAACTTAGCCCATCAAAGGTGGCCCGGCTAAGGCGTGGACAGAGACGCTTCATCTGCAGGGTGGGCAGAGAATGGTACCCAGGTACAGATTGGCCTTAATGTTCTCTCCGTCCGGTGCGCTGCGTGTGCCGTGCTCTGAGCCCTCAGCAGGCTGAGCACAGCACAGAGATGGGCCAGCCGCGCGTTCGAAGGAGGCCTGCGGTGCTGCTGACGTGTACCTAGAGCTTTGTCCTGCCCTGACCTCCCTGTCTTTGCCGTTCCAGCTGTGAAGGAGGCAGCGGTGCAACGGAAGCACAACCTGTACCGGGACAGCATGGTCATGCACAACAGCGACCCCAACCTGCACCTGCTGGGCGAGGGCACGCCCATCGACTGGGGGGAGGAGTTCGGCAGCCAGCCCGACTCCGACCCGGCCACCGAGAAGCGCCGCCGAGCCAAGCAGGTGGTGTCGGTCATCCACGATGATGAGGGGGCCCTGCCCTACGAGGCCGGCGCGGGGGTGCTGATGCACCAAGTCTCTCAGGAAGAGCCTGACTCAGAGGAGCCGGAGACCTGCCTTGCCCTGGCTGCACCAGGCTCCCCTGATGACGTGCAGGAGATACGGGGCATGCTGGTGCAGGAGGTGCATGTGGAGACCCGGGTCCCGGCAGGAGAGGAGGCAAAGGAACAGCTGACAAATGGTACGATAGTCCAGCTGAGCGCCGGTTCGGAGGTGTGCGGGGCGGAGGAGGCTGCCCCGTCAGCTGAGGAAGGCCCTGCTCCCTTGGAACACTCCGCCCGGCCTGACGCTGGCTCCCTGTGCCCAGTGAACCCTGAGGTGGAGGAGCAGGAAGCCAAGCCAGCTGTGCTCGCCTCTCTGGCCGTGCCGCCTGCCCTGGCAGCTGCCCCGGGGCTTGCTGAGGAGGGAGCTGAAGTGAACCGCCACGAGCCCAACGACAAGGAGACTGGGGAAGAGGTGACCAGCCAGGGCCAGGCAGAGAAGGGGGAGCCTGCTCAGCTGGCCCCAGAGAGCGGTGCGGGGGCCCCAGAGAGCAGCCAGGGGACCACAGAGAGCGGCGTGGGGGCCCCAGAGAGCAGCAAGGGGACCACAGAGAGCGGCGCGGGGGCCCCAGAGAACAGCAAGGGGACCACAGAGAGCAGCGAGGGGCTGCAGACTCAGTTCTAGGTCAGCCCCCGGTCAGGATCCCTGCCGGCTGTGTACACTGTGGGCCGAAGCTGGACTGGAGTCAGTGACACCATGGGGGGTGGGGGCGTGTCGGCTGGGCCGGTTGCTGGTAACTGTTACATTCCCGGGTCTGCTCCGGACCCCAGCATTCCAGGGAAAGGGGGGGAGCTAATCTCCTAAACACCAGAGCTACAGGGAGGGGAGCTTTATGCTGGCCAGAACTAAGATGCCACGCTGGGCCACACTATTGCCCCTCCTCTCAGTATAGGCCACGCCCCCTACTTTGCTCTGTCGTTGTTTTCCCATCATTGAAGAGGCACCTGACCACGTTACTGACTCACAAGGGGGTGACGGTGCGAACGCCTCCCAGGACAGCTACCCAGGAAGTGCCAGCGGGCGCCTGAGGCCCGGAAGAGGTGGTTACGTGGGCAGCCCCGTGGCTCTTCCAACAGTCCAGCCTTTCCCTTCGTCGGGTGCTTCTCATTCCAACCAAAGAGGCCACGCTGCTGTCTCAAACGTGGCGGCTGCGGTCTGAGGCCACCTCTTCCTCACCAGCCTGCTCCAGGACCCTGGCTGAGAGGGAATGGGTGCTCCCCCTGTGTCCCTTTGAATGCTGACCACCGCCCCCTGGAAACGCGCACCCTTCCCCCCGGCCACGTGGCCAATGGGTGCTATGTGTTGGCGACCACGCACTGTCCAAGCCAGCGCTGTGACTTTCCTTGTCACTCGCTCTGGCAGAGGGAGGGTTAAATGAGTCGCGACCCATCTTGAACTGGAATCCATCTGTTCTAAGTGGCCCCCCCAAGAAGGAGCATCCGCGTGGGAGGATGGGGCTGCTGCTTGCCTAGTTCTGGCCACGTTAGAGCATCGCTGGGAAATAAGTAGACAAGCCGGTGTGGCTAATACAGAGCAGCATCTTAACTCTCTTGCTCCTGCCCTTCCTTGCGGGCCCTGCTCTGACTGCAGGTTCCACGGGTGGCTCCAAAGCTTGTCGACCGGTAGGGCAGGTCGAGGGACGGAAGGAGCCACAAATACCTCTCAGCTCTCACCACCTCCTCCATGTCCCGTCTGCCCCGTTACCCAAGCAGGTGGATGTAATGCTCGAGGCCTTTTTGTGCAGCTGTTGAGATGGCGCCGAAGTTTTAGAACCAGCTGTTTGTTTTCCTTTCCTCCCCTTGCTGCTGGGGTGTGGTTCCTCCAGTGCTCCAAGGAGTAGCGCCCCCACCCCTCGCCAGCCCCCTACAGCCAGAAACCACCTGGAGTTGTTCACAGCTGCTGATTCCCACACGACTGTTGCTCGCCTGTCTCCCGCCCTCTTGGAGGGGGATGCAGGGCGAGAGTGGGAACTCGAAGGTCGGCGCAGGGGAGGGGGGTTTCGGATGGAAAGGAGAGGAAGTTGGCTGCTGTAGGGAGAGAGCTGAAGGTCTTGGCGGAGGCCAGAACTCTTGAGGTGTGTTCAGAGGAGGGATCGGTGAGGGCAGGTCCTGGCCGAAGGCCCAGTGGAAGCTCCTGTTGCGCTGGAGGGGAGAGGGTGCTGCGGAGTCTGAGGCTCTGGCTTGTGGCATTTCCCTTCCAGCTCTCGATGTCTTTCGGGTTCTTGTTTTCATTGCACGTGGTTTGTCTGAGGAGCTCCGGGATAGGGGCGGCTTGGGGCGAGCTGGGCTGCTGCAAACCTCCTAGTATTAGTGAGAGAAACAAGTGGGGAAAAGGTCTTGGCAATCCTCCGGGGGGGATTTCATTGCAGGATGACTGGGCTGGCCTTGGATTCTTTGCCTGCCCCATAGCGGGGGAGGGGTGGCCCGGGGAGGAGAGACAGCTGAGGATGGAAGGGATATATCTGGCCTGCAAGTCTTTCCTCCCTTCCCCCACCTACCCCAGCCAGGACACGGGGGGGTCCCACTGGGTCCCTTGTGACGTCTCCCCACCCCCAATCCAGCTCCCCAGAAAAGCTCGGCTGAGATTACCCGCCCTTCCCAGTTCTGCGTGCTAGGACTCCATCTCCCCGGCTCCTGTGTAAGACTGAGCTACCCCAGGGTGCCAGCGAAATCCACCCGGCCCCCTGGAGGGATTCGACCTTCTATGGCCACGGGATCTCGGTACGGTGCCCTACGCCATGTGGACTTGGCTCTCGTTGCATTTCCAAGGGTTACCTTCCCCTGGAGACACCTGGTAGGTTGGGGGGGCGGGGAGGAGACTCACTGAGCTTTGGGGGGTTGGGCAAACGAGTTCAACCTTGGGCTGAAGTAACCGTAGAGCCAAAGCGTGGCTGTGGAACGCCAGCGCCCCCACGAGTGTCCTGTGGCCCTTGTCCACGCACCACGTGGGAAGCAGAGGGGCACCAAGGCGAGCCTGGCAAGAGGGGGCCACCAGGATCCAGCTCTGGCCAGGCTCCTACATCTTCAGCTGGCATGGGCAAGTGACTCCTCGCAAGGGCACAGCCCGACTGCTGCTCTCTGTGCTGCCTGTCTCAGGAAGGCCGGGAAGAGCAGACGTGCGCGCTGGCCAAAGGCAGGGGCTGGGTTTCTCCAGCTCTCTCTCAGGCATCTCTGGTGCATCCCAGCAATCAAAGTACAATTGCATGGAGTCGGCCCCCAGCCAGGAGCTCAGCTGAACCCCAGCTGTTGGTAGATAGCCCAGTATGCAAGGGAACTGCTGTGCCTCGCGTGGATGATCTGTCTCTCAGACTTCCACTGCTGCTAAGGGGTCGTGTCGCTAGCTGGGAAGGAGTCTCCGCAGACACACAAGCTGCGTGAGGCAATGGAGTGTTTAAAACCTGCTCTGCAGTCGAAACAATGGGTGTAAAGTCTCCCGAATGGGCTGCTTAGCCCTCCAGTGCAGAATCTGGAGCAAGAGCCCAGCCTGCCCACCCTATCCTCTGCGACAGATACATTCCAACTTCCACGTGTGTCCTAGACGCCCTTGTTTCTCGTTTTAAGTGGGTGGGAGCTGCCAGAGTGCCTTGCCTTGGGAAGCCAAACGTGCCTCTTCCAATATATTTTATTGAGAATGTTCTACAAATGTTTAAAATACGCTTCTACTGATAAATAAAATCCAGCTTTATTTAAAGCGAGCCGTGCTCATTTCTGAATGGTTCACTCCGGCTGCCCCAAGGAAAGGGAGACATTCCACATGGAGGGTTTTTTTTTTTTTGGTGGGGGGAGGGTTGGACCTGGAATGTCGGGGACGAGCTACAAAGTTCCTCTAAGTTCCGAAGGAGGGCGTTGATTTGATGTCAAGTCTGGGACTGGTCATGCTGTTGGTCTGTGCGTACACACGGGTGCATCCAAAAGCAGACTGGGGCAGGGTGGGGTGGTGCAGTGCAGCAGAGATGGTTGCGGCCGCAGAGAATTTGGGCTCGGGTGTGCTGGGGTAGGGGCGATCACCAAGTGGCTTTGTAGTCCAGGTGCATTTTCTGGCCCTGCTGTGCTAGGTGCAGTACACAGCCATTAGGACAGTCCCTACCCCCCAAAGTGTGCAGTGTGTATGCCATGGGGTTGGGAGAGAGGAGGAGGCAGTGTCCCCGTGCTACAGATAGAGAAGTGAGGCATAGAAAGACCAGGGCTCTACAAACTGAATCCACATCTCCCGAGTCGGCTTGTGGCTTAACCAGACCATCTCTCCTTTATTGTCAGTAAAAATGCTGCCTTCTGGGTCACCCTACGGGATGGCAGGAGCCTAGAATTGAGTTGTAATGAGGGTAATTGGCCAGGGTGACCTCCCTGGTGGTGCTCTCTGGCAGGCTAATGTCCGAGCACTTTCCAAAGCAGGGTATTTCCATTCTGCAGAGCCATGAACAGCTTTGCCCCAAGTCCATGCAGCCAGTTGGACGGAAGCCCCAGTGCAAGCCCTGGTCTCTTAGCTGTAAGAGAGACCATCCTTTTGTTCTGTCTGTACAGCCCCAAGCACAATGGATTGCTGCTCTATGAACAGGGAGAGCCCTGCCAATCTGCGGCTACCCACCGTAAATCCCGGGGTATCTGCGAGTAGCCGCCTACGCAGAGGTGACTGCAGATAACCGCGGCTCGTTTTTGCAAGGAGGGATGTGGCCGTGGATACAGATTTTGTATCGAGAATCTTGCAAATGTGCGCACGGCCAAGGGCATCCACGGATCGTTTTGGGGGCTGCCGGTGCATGTCTACAAATGGGGCTCCCGCCTGCCTCAGTTGTCGCAGCTGAATCAAAGCTGGGGCATTATGGCTAACAGGTAGGCAATTGCTTTAACTGAGCTTGCGCTTGGCTGCAGCCCTTGCAGCTTTGTGAGCCGTTCCCTGCCAGGGGAGAAGGGCTGTCCTTCGGGGAGCCGAAGTTTTGATCAGCTCCATCTATTTACACGTCCTCTTTCAGACCCGTGTGAGCCAGCTGCGTCTCCCAGCCCCGGTCCTGCTACCAGGCGCGCACACAGAAGTAGCCAAGCAATCAGGAGAGCTTTATTAAAACCGGCCCAGCAGGGTCTGGGAAACACACCAGCCCCCGGTTTCCAAAGCAAACGAGCCACTGCATGGGCAAGACACTCAAATCAACTGACTTGCTTCTTTCGGCTCCAGATGTGTGTGGGGGCGGGGCCGAGCTGTGTCTCCGCCCTGCGCTATCCAGCCGGATAGCTGGTGCTGAGGGGAACACGGAAGGCACAGTGCGAGGGGAGAGTCCAGCATGAGCCTCTTGAGGCTTGTTTTCCTCCTGCCCACAAGCAGCAGGGAGAAGTGGACAAAGCAGGCAGGGAGCCCAGCCAGAAACACGAACAAGCTGGGAGGGAGGGTGAAATAACCCCCAATCCGTCCCCGCACGCTCCCCTCCCTCTGGCCCCTGCTAATGGACGCCCAGCCTGCAGTGCGTCCGCTTGCTCTCAGTCCCCAGCCCCGAGTCCCCCCGACAGCCGGGAAAGGCTCCTGGGATTCCTGAGTGAGAAGTGTGTGGGGGGGGGTGAAGTCATTGGCGAGTGCGCGTCTTGGGAGGTGCGGGTGCAGGCAGCTGCAGGGCGGAGGCGCCTCCTCTGCCCAGCCTGATTTGGCATGGTTCAGCGCCTCGGGGGACCCGCCCCTGCTTGGTGAGGGCCGCCTGGCAGGAACGCTCCAGAAACGATCTTCAAAATGGAGAGCTGTAGAGAAGTGGCGGCCACAGTGAGGGGAAGAAACTCCCCCTCGGAGGGGGGGATAGGGAGAGCCCCCCGGCGCCTGGGGATGATTCTCCCACCAGACCCAGTCCTGCGTGAGCCTGGTCGCCAGTGGCGCCTCCTTCGACGTCCTGCCACTGCAGATGTCGCCCTCTTTGTCTCGGCCGCGCCCTGGAAGGCCACGGTGCCTCTATCTCACACGGTGGCGTCTCTATCGCGTGTGCAGCACTGGGTAGACCAAGTAGTAACCCAGGGTGGAGCCCACGATCACCCCCAGGAAGATCCAAGCGTTGTAGGACATCACCACCAGCATCACCAGGTAACCGATCACCACCTGGGCCACGTGGAGCAGGGTCTGGCTAACGTGGTACAGAAACCACCTGCCCGGAGAAGAAAAGTGGAGTCACCATTGGGGCGAGCAAGCCTTGCATGTTAGCACCGTCCCCCCAGGCCTCTGAGTGGGTCCCCCGCAGGAGGGGGGCCCCAGCCAATGGCTGAGGGCCAAAGAGCCCGGAGTGCATTGTGGGTGTAACATGAAGTGGGGTTAATTGATGTGGGCACGGTGCTGCCTCCGGGTCTGTGGGCTGCACCCCCCTGCTGTGCAATCGCCGCTCCCAGCCGGCGCCGAGCTGGCTGGATTCCCCCGGCGCGGGGTTTTGGCTGGGCTGAGTGGCTGAGGCAGGCTGGTCCCTCCCAGGGAGCCCCCATTCCCTGTGGGCCCGGCCCGTGTGCGCTACGCGCCGTACACACAGAACTGAGGGTGGTCACCGACCCAGCTTACAGGCCGGGCACACATTTTTGCAGCGGGGCCACATCCCTGATTTTGTTAGTGGCTGTGGGCTCGCGCTGTCCCCTGGAAAGGCGGGGCCTCAGCCAGAAGGGGCGGGGCCTCAGGTGGGAGGGGTGGTTTCCTTTGGGCACCGTGTGCCCCCAGTGGGGGGAGAAGGAGGCTTCACACACTGCCCTGCCCCCAGGCCAATCCGTCTGACACCTAGAGGAATCTCCATCCGTTTTGACCTTGGGCACTCCCCTGCACCTGGGGCTTGTTGGCCTGGGGGCAGAGGGGCAGCAGGGTGGGCCATGGGCTGGATCAAATGGCTTGGAGGGCCGTATCTGGCCCCCCCCCCCGGTCGCAGACAAGAGGGCAGCAGGATACAGACGGAGGGAGAAGCCCACAGACACAACAGGACCTTCAGCACCATGCGAGGCAGTGAGCTCAGCCCGCTGCCAACGCTGTGCAGGCTACAAGACCAAAATGACCCCGCGTTGGAGCCTGTCCCCATCCCTGTCCCCTCCACGAGCGTCCTCCTCTCAGGCCGGTTTGTAGCTGAAACTTCACCCCGCCCCAACTGGGAAATGCAAAGCGGGACGGTATGAGAGTTTCCCTGGCGTTGTCACCCGCCTTTCCTGTGTGTTTGGCTTTCTGGGCCTTTGCGAAATCAGGGGGCGGTGGTGGCTGGATTAACTCTGAACTAAGTGTTCCCTCTTCTGCAGACGGGCTGCGACTTGCCGCTGCTCTCTGAACCCTTTCCAGGCCGGGATTACGTCTGGCCCTAACGTGGTGAAATTCTCTGCCTTGTGCCCTGCTGTGGGGCTCCGGCGGCAATTTAAAAGGGCCCAGGGATCTGGCC